AAAGAAAGATGGTGAATATAGCACCAACAAAGCAAAAAATTTCATTGTAAGTGTGTATATGTTGTAAACATTAAATTTTGTTTGTTTAGATACATTGCTAAACATATTGATTCGACGTAGGAACTCGTATGAAAATGCCATGATTGAAATATGGGGAAGATACACCAAATCATCCTACAGTTGATTCGATCTTTGGACAAAAGCTAGCTGGTGAAAATAAAAAAGGTAGAATTTGTGGTGATAGGTCGAGTTCTGGATCTTGGTATTTCACATGTTTCATCTTCATCCGGTTGAAGGTCCCTCTTCCCAAAATCTTACCACACCTCTCATTTGAAGAAATGTCATTCATAAGCCCCAGGATATCTAGTTTGCAAGAGCGGAGATGAAAACACGGTTGCGAGCCACGAACTCATATGCAAGCATTGATGCAAGCACAAATGAAGACACAAGCGAAATGCAAACACTCATGCAACAACAAATACAAGAAGAAATGCGATCTTTCAAGAAAAATACATTATACGCGCTAAAGCAATGATGAAAGCACGTACTTTAAACTTTGTTTATTTGTAATTGTGTTATACGGAAACTTTTTAGTTGAAATATTATTTTTGTTATGTTTTAATTGTTTGAAACATCATTTTAACTATGTTTAAACAATACTTTTATATTAAAAGTTGATAAGTTTGTCTTCTTTTAAGAATGAAGTAATAATTTAAATCTTAAATATTTGATATTATAAATTTTGATAAAAATTATGAGGGATTAGCTATGAAATAGTGAGAAAAACATTTTAAAGGATTAACGAAGAAATAATTGTGAGGCATTAACCACTAGTTAGAGATAAATTGTTAGGGATTAGCTACGATTAAGCGAGAAAAATTGTGAGGGATTAGCTATGGATTAGCGAGAAAAAAATTGCGGGATTAGGCTACGGATTAATGAGAGAAAAATTGCGAGGGATTAGCTACGGATTAATGAGAGAAAATTGCGAGGATTAACTACAAATTAAGCGAGAGTGAAATTGCGAGGGATTAACTGCAATTAGTGAGCGAAATTGCGAGGATTAGCTACGGATTAAGCGAGAGAAAAATTGCGGGATTCGTTACGGATTAGCTACAAGTTTTGGGAATCAAATTAGCTAAGGGATAAACAAAATTTCATCATTTAAATTATGAGATTTAGCTGACGAGTTTAGCGACAAAATTTGCTACAAGTTTGAGAGAGAATACATTTGTAGCTAATTAGCTACTTGGATTTATTTCTGGTTATTCCATAGTTATTAAAACAGCTAAAATACTACAATAACAAAACATACCGACGAGAGATTAGCTATAAAATAGTTACGGAATGTGTCATAGCTAATATGTAAAATTCTTGTAGTGAAAGTAGAAAAATATATTGTAATTATTTTAATTTAATAAAATATAATTTAAATTTTTAATACTAAAATTAAAAGATTAAATAATAATAAATTTATTTCTTTAAATTGAGTATTTAGAAACTAAAATTATAGTTTCTCTGTTTTAAAAAATTAAAATAAATATTTAAAAATAAAAATCAAAACTAGTATTATCTTAAATTTATTAACACTGTAATTAAATCTCTATTTTCTTAATTTTTTTTGTTTTAAACTTCTCAATTCTACATTTTTGTAAGTTCTATCATTATATTATCATCCTCATCTCCTTCCATGTTCTACTTTATCTTTACAATAGTTAATATTCTTAAATAATTTATATTTTTAATTATAATTTTTTAATATATATTTAGAAATTAATCAATTATAATCTATTATTTGAAAAACTAATCAATTCTAATCAATAATTTAGAAAACTAATCGATTATAATTAATTATTTGAAAAAATTATCAAATATGATCAATCATTTGAAAATCTAATCGATCAGAATCAAAAAATGTGGTTGTATATGATAGCGGTTCACTTGGAACCACTATTATATGTTCACTTTTAAGAGCGGTATAAATATTAACCGCTCTTAAAAGTGACAAATATTTTATTTATTTATTGACACATTTTTTCATCAGATATCGCTCGAGCGAGACCAGTGTCGCTCAAGCGAAATACAACCCGAGAATGCCAATTTTGTGTAGGTGGCGTCGCTCGAGCGATGTTACTTTCGGTTGAGCGAATGTTGACCTGCGTAAACGTCGATCAAAGTTAACCGGATAATGTAACATGGGTGACCTCATGTTTGAATCGGATGTCGCTCGAGCGAGAATAGTATCGCTCAAGCGAAATACAACCCGAGAATGCCAATTTTGTGTAGGTGGCGTCGCTCGAGCGATGTTATTTTCGCTTGAACGATATTGCAAAAATCAAATAAAATCATCGATTATTTTCTCATTAGCGACCGATTTTAATTCGGTCACTATTTCAATTTGTAGTTCGGTCGCTAAATCAGTCGCTAAATGATTTTTTTATTTATGTATGAAATAGCCACCAATATTTTGTGTCGCAAAATTTCGGTCGCTAAATAAAAAAGTGAAAACCAAATCATATTTTGGTCGCTAAATCGGTCGCTAATTGTGACGGAATTAAAGTGGTCGCTAAATCGGTCTCTAATTGCGACCAAAATTAAATCGGTCGCTAATTGCGACCGAAAAAATTTGGTCACTAATTTTGGTGGCTAAATGTGTTTTTTCTTGTAGTGTCTTTTTTACTAAAATTTGAGACATAAAGTATTTATTATAAATATTTTGTATTAAAATAATACATTTTTGAATTGGCCACAAAATCTATCTATATGACTAGTAGATATTCTTAATAAAAAAAATATAGAAATCAAATTAATTCAAATAAAAGTTAATTTAAAAATTAAATGAATAAAAATTTGGTGTAATTTAAATTAAAAAATATCAATCAAGTTAATTTAATATCTATAAACATAAATTTTAAATTCAATTTATTTTATATTAATTAAATGTTTAAACACAATATAACCAACATAATATATATTTTTATTAAATTTTCACTTATTTATTTATCATATATATAATTAAAAACACCTTATATAATTTTTTTATTTAAAATTTTATAATAAACTTTTTTCATAATCAAATTATTTCTTTGCTTTCATGTAATTCTATATTTTTAAACTGATAATTTAGTTAAAATTTTTATTTTTTATTTTTTTAAATATACTAATAATATTTAATATTAACATAATTTTTTTAAATTATGAATTTTATAAATATAAAACAACTTAAAATTGGATAAATAGATTGAAGTGGACACAGATACAACATTATGATTGTAGAACGAACATAATCAAATACAAATAAATTTAAGCCTTCATAAAATAAATTTCATAAACAAATAAGATTAATTTAAGTCTTAATAGATAAATTCGCATGTAAACATGTCGAATTTTTTTAAGGAAAGGATAGATTAAAATAAGCCCCAGAACGAAATTCAATTGAAGGAAAAGAAATTATGATATTTAATTTATCCAATTGAAAAAAAAAAAAAGGGAATTGTGACAGCAGCTTCTATGCACCATCGTGGTTCATTCCCCAGCATCGAATCCCGATGAGTAACTCTGCTGAGGCAATCAGGAATTCAATAGCCTGCTGTTTGGAGAGCAGCCCCACCACATTCCGCAGCGTTCTCAACCGTAAATCATCTGCTTTCTTTATGATGCTGATCAGCTCAACAATCTTCTCATCCATCTTCTCATCTATCTCTCTGTCTGGACCCATCATTTCGCTCACAGTTTCCTGCCATTCTGATAACTCTTCTGTAATTATGTTCTCTTCTTTCACCTTCAAATCAATTAAAAGTATATTCAATTAAAAAACAAATCTCTCCTCAACATTAACATATCTGGTTTAATCTGCCACTGAAGAACACCACAGTTATAGATAAATACATCATAATATCCCAATATGAACAGATGCATTGGAACCCAACCACCATCACCATTGTCACCAAATCTTTTATATATTATCATTATTTGTAACTGCATTTTAAAAATAATAGATAAAAATATATATACTGAAGATGAGAGCCAAAAATTAGAAATAAAGTGTTCGTGCATGTATCAGTACTAAAAAAAAAAAAGAAAAAGACTTCAATTTGCAGGTAAATACTCTAACTACTCTATTCATGTAAATTGTTTAAGGCAACTATATATAATGAAATCTGTAATGAAAAGCAGCACCAACAATAACCTGCATGTAACTTCAACTGAAGATAACTGTGTGAAATTAAGAATTAAAAGTAAGAGAGAGTGTTCTTAGATACAGTTTCTGTAACGAAAATGAGCACCAACAATTACCTGCATGTAACTTCCACTGAAGACAACTGTGTGTAAAATAAGATTTAAAAGTAAAAGAAAGAGTGTTCTTAGATGCAGTTTCACTCTGTAATAAAAAGGAGCACCAATAATAACCTGGAAGACAACTGTGTGTAAATTAAGAAGTAAAAGTAAAAGAAAGAGAGAGTGTTCTTAGATACAGTTTCACACTGGAGATCGCTCATGAGGCGGAACTGGGAGGGGGAGAGGTCACCGAGATCGCCGGTACGGAAGCCTTGGAGGATGTCAACTATGTGAGACTCAAAGAGGAGGGAAGACTCAGTGTAGATGAGGTGGAAGGCGGTGGTGGGGCGCCACCCAGTGATCCAGTGGAGGGAGCGTTCAAGGGAGGTAGCCCAGGGAGAGAGGAACATGTTGAGAGGGTCCTTCTCCACTGCCTCCCACTTTGCTCTGTAGTAGTGCTGGTGCTTTCCAATAACCTTCTCCATCACCTCGTCGTTACGCTCATCCTTCAGCCGCTGCACCACCCCCTGCAGCTCCTCAAACCATTTAGTGTAAAGCTCCCCGAAGGAAGAAGAAGGAGAAGAAGCGCTCATTGGGTTTGGTTGGTGGGTTTCTGAGTTTCAGTTTGGCAATAAAGTGTTGTTGTTGGTATCTGATTAAAGATAGAACTCGTGTTGGCACCGCATGCATGCACGGCTTACGTGTTTTGTTCTCAGGCTTCAACTTGTCTTCGCTTGGTTGATGAAGTTCACGGTTCGATACTTTCTATGCTTACTTTTTTTAATAATTAATATCAAATAAAATAAATATTTATAACTTTTGTTTTGTAAGAAACATTGTAAATAAATTTTAAAAAAAAACTTATGACACTTGTTGTTTTGTTACACAACTGAAAAAGATTTACAATTACAATTTAATTGGGATATAAAATAATTTAACTATATATAGGTTATTTAATTATGGTTATTAATTACTTACTTAAATTTATTATTAGATTAAATAAACAAATTTAAAATTTTAATGACTTTTTTAAAATAAATCAATATTTATTATATATAATTATTATTATTATTATATAATATTTATTTAAATAAGCCAATAATTGTAAATTATTATATGTGATAAATTTATTAATTTTCATACCATAATATTTTTTTAATTAAATAACACAGTGTAAAACTGTGCTGTCTCTTACATTTTCTTTAATTTCACCTCATTTTAATTATTATAATTTTAATTTTTTTATATAACTATATAATATTAAATATATTTTTATTAGCTCGATAGAAGAAAAATATAAATAACTACATTGGAGTATCATCAATTTATATGTTTAACAGTTTTAAAACTTAAAATTACATATTTTATTATAAATATACTAATTGGTGTAATATGTATTATATATAAAATATATAATTTTATTAGATAAATGTAAAAACATGTTACATAAAGAATTTGTAATGTTGATATTTTGCATAAAATAAATTTATTTATTTTACTCAAAAATAGGATAATTAAAATTGTTATGCAACTAAGAATATATTATAAAAACAAATTTATGAATCAGTTTAAAAATTACATAATTAAAGACAATCAAAAGATTAAATTAAAGGACAATGAAATTTATTCCTCCACTGGCGCTTCACTTTGCTTTGGGAGGTGCATGGATAGATACATTTCAATTTTTAACCGTTACAGTATATTGTTATTAATTTTTAGCATATCATCATGTTTCTTTGAGTGATTGAATATCTAATCAGAGACCGATTAATGGCACTGTGGGATTCATGAAATATATTTTAAATTAACTAATTAATAACATAATTATTGATACAATACTTAGTATTATATATATATATATATATATATATATATATATATATATATATAACTTGTTCTATCATCTATTTAATTTATAATATTTGTAATTATTAAAGTTATATAATAAATAAGATATGTCCTATGATATCCTTTAATTATAGTTCTTATGATGAAAAATAAGAATTAAAATTAGGTGAAATCATACTAAAAGTTTATAGTTTAAATTGAACTATATTAGTTTTAATTTAATAAACATAACACGAGATTTATAGATTTTCGTAGGTTTATGGTTGTCTTATTATATAAAATAATAAATATTCTTAAATAAAAATAATAATAATAAAATTATTTTAATATATATATATATATATATATATATATATATCACTTTAAAAAAATTAGAATAATTGTTTTGAATTTTCTACATATATATACGATATAAAATATTTACATTTTTATATTAATTGTATTATAATAAATATAGAAAGTATTATTTATTATGTTGCTTAAAATTTTAATTAATGTTAAAAATATATATTTACATTTTTTAACTTCACCTTTTTCTTTTTAGTTCCATAATCATAAATTTAAATCATAATAATAAATACTTATGACGAGGATTCATAAATGAAACATTATAATAAATTTTACAAACTACGAAATATTTATTACACCACTTTTTGTAATGAATAAATTTATTTTTTTATTAATGTATATATAATTTATATATAAAATAAAATAGTTCATTTTTAATTTGACAGGTAATTTATTTATCAAATCAAATCATTTAAATTTTGATTTCTTAATTTATATATCAAATTATTTTATTTTTCTAAATTAATTTTGTGGATAAATTATTTTTATGTGAATATGTTATGATTTTTTAAGAAATTTCAATTAAGCAAAATTTTAATTTTTATCCAATATGAAATCAAACTTAAAAAAAAATTAGTCTCATTTTAAAATATAAATTAGATTAAATTAATAATTTATTTTATTTTACTTCTAGGATCAAATTAAATCCTACCAAAGCACCTATTTTAACAGTCTACCTATCTCATCAAAAATCATATTTTTAGTATCATTTAGAAGGTTGGAAATTTATATTTTAAAACATTAGATATTCACTAATGTAATGGTACATAAACTTATTTGGACCGATAAAAAAACCGGTCCAACGGGTTCATTGTCTAAAAAAATAAAACTAGAAAAAATTAATTGAATTTTGGGGTCTAGCTTTGATAAAAATAAATATTTTTTAAATGATATATTTTTATAAAATATATAATGTTTTTTTCTTTATATAATATAAATCATATCAACTTTAAAATAATAATTATTTATATATATTTCATTTTATTATTTTTTATTTTATTTTTTATTTATAATTTTTAATCTAATTTATAATAATTATTATTATTATCATCATTATTTAAAAAATATATTTTATTAATAAATAATTATATTATTAAAAAATATTAATTTATTAATTTCGACTAAATTATCTAAAAGCTTTAAAATGTTTAACCGGTAACAGTTTAATATTCCAATTTTTAAAATATTGATTATTTTATTAACATATTATATATATATATATATATATATATATATATATATATAGTAAAATAATGTTAATATAAACTCTTTTTTTATACTTTTATAAAATTTATTAATAGAAGAATTTTTTTTTAATAAGACATTATTATTATTATCATTAATTTCAAAATTATTTAATATTATTATTTTAACCAAATAATAAAAGAGGATTTAGCACTAAACAAGGAACTCTATTTTTATAATTTGTATTTATTTTTAGGGTGATGGAGTCATATTGAAGTTAATGCAGCAAATGCAGTGATGATTATTGAAAATGATTAAAATTGTGGCCATTTTAACATAATAAATATTGCATACCAAACTTGCTACATTTGCATAAGTTCCAATTTTGTTGTGATGTTGACCCAAATCAGAAGTATGGGCTTGGAGTGGCTTTCACATTCCCAAGATGACCATAATAATTCTATATTTTTTATTCTAAATAATAATTATTTCTCACATTTAAATATTTAGGACTTTTTTATTTTGTTAGATACTAGATAATGTATTCGAGAGAGGCAGAATTGTTATGAAACCTATGTTGCATAAAAACAAGGAATCCACTCTTATTATGTAGAAAATGATGTAGAATCACTAATAAGGTGACTATGGGTAAATATCTTAGGTACTTAAGATTTGGGTCCACTTTACATTTATAAAAAGATCACTTTACACTCTTTTAAAAACACACGTTACTCATTTTTTATTTTTCTTTTTATTCTATTTTTATTATGAGTTTATTTATTTTTTTAATATTTTCTTATTAGTTTTTGAATTTCTAAAAAAATTGGAGAAATTTTTGTTGTATAACAGGGAACTTGCCCAATATTTGACGTATAAGTTTTTAAGGGCAGTGATTATACATATCTTTGAGAAATTTATATTGTTTCCTAGAGAACTTGACCAATACTATGCGGATAAATATTTAAGGACAATGGCGATTATACTCAAGAAGTTTCTATTATATCTTGGGAGACTTTGAATATTTTATAGATAAGTCTTTAACAATAGTAATTATACATGTCAGAAATTTTAAGTTTTGTTTGTGTTATTGTCAGTTTTTTTACAATAGGAATTAAGGTTAAATGAATGGAAATTAGAATAATATTAGTTTTAAAACAATTAACCTTTCATATTTAGATGTTCTAAAAAATATTTTACATCTTTTTACTCAATTTATACTTCTACCGTCATCTATCATTATATATAAAATATTTTAATAAATAAAAATTATTAAACCTTTCTACTTGAAATTACTTTTACTTACTTTAATATACCCTACATATAAAGATTTTAATTTAAGATTTTAGACTATTAAATACTAAACTAACTACTAACAATATGAATAAAACTGAATTTGGATATTTTTAACAAAATTTCATATTTACAAAAATAACATAATTAAAAAGAGAAATAATTAAAAGTAACTAGTAAAAAAAATACTAATAGATATTAATTATAAAAAAATATACAATTTATTTTTAATCTTGACATTATAGTGTGAATTGGAATCGGGAAGATTTACCGTATAGATTTTTACTTTAAAAGTGATAGCTTGACAATTACATTCCTACCCAAAAACTACAATCCAATTTAATAATATTATAATAATAAATATAAAAATTTAAAATTTTACTACTACTATTATTATAATATGAAAATAAATTATTAATTAAATTGTATAAATAACTAAAGTTCTTTAAATATAAATTTTATATATTTGCAATTGATTTTATGATGAAACGGTTAGAACCAAAACCTAAGTACCTTTGTGTTGTCCTGGGTGAAAATATTCTTTGTATGGGTTGGGAGACTTGTGACTCTTATTTTCCGTGAAAACTTACTTTTTTTTTTTTTAACATGTTAATCTGAACCACTTAACAAATTAAAGGTTATACCACTTATATTAAAAGTGGAGATAATTTATACAAATGTAATAGAACACATAAGGTTGCACTTTTTGCGCGGGGCAGATAATAAGGTTATTTAATGATGTTGCTAAAAGAGGGTGGTAACAGAGGAAGGCACAAAAGCTTTGACGAGTGATTCTACTATTTACAAAAGAGCTTTTGAATGTACAGAGTGCAGATTTAAATGTAACCGAACCAGCCATTACATGCCCCATTCAATTCCCTTGTCTATTCAGATTTAATTACTTGAACCAACACACCCAAGTCAAACACAACCATTCTTCAAGGTTTCCTGATAAGACTTGAATCAAGCCAAGCCATGTTCACATCAACTTTTCAGCTCACCAAGTAGCAACTCATGCATGCTTGTTATATACATGCACTCTACCTGGACTCTTTATTCTTCCTCTTTTTTGTCAAACATAAATATGGTAACTACTGTGCATTATTATTGTTGTTACTGATATTGAATGTACAAAAAAGACAGAGATCCTGATATAGCTACTGATATAGAGGGTGCTGGTGCCATGCTTTATGGTGTCTAGAAATTTGATCAAGAATGAGTGGCAGAGACGGCACCTCCTTGCACTTGTGGTAAACCCTGCAATTTCGGCTTCATGAGCTAAGAAAACGTGACTCGTGTATGGAATTGTGTTGAAGCATCTCACTGGGGTCTAGCATTTTGGTGAATCTGTGTTAGATATAGCAGGATCTTTTGGTTGTCTAGCCTTCACTGTTCAAACTTGCTCCCTTGCCCCCAACAAAATGTGCCATGCTCTTCCCTCAACTTCTTTCTAAATCTCACTCATTTATTTATTCACCCGATAACCTCTCCGTCTCCTCTACTTGTTTCAATCTTCTTCTCCATCTTTTCCTACATTTCTTTTAACTCTTAAAGTGTTGATTCTTTTCCGTCGATCTATAATCATTCCAATAAAACATATTCTCACGGTCAAATCAACAAAGAAAAAAATTATGTAATAAATATAAATAGCTATAAAATAATAATATCAATATAAAGAATATCATTATTTATAAAATAAACTTAATTTTTTATGAGATTTTATATTTCTTGTATTTAATCTTAATTATTTGATAATCTTCCATAATTTATAATTTATTTAACTAATAATTATATATTGTTTTAAAATGGGCAATGTAACTCAACTTAGCCTAACCTAAGTAAAAAAAATTAAAAACCTACTCTAATTTATATTTTAAAATAAATCATATTTTTTATATAATATTTAACGAATTAATGAGTCAATTTTGACTTTATTAAAAAATTTAAAAAATGTTAAAATATTTAAATTAAAATAATTAATTAAAATTATTTAAATAAAAAATTTATATTATAAAATTGAAATTATATTAATAAAATTATTTTTTTATTTAAGATATAATAATTTAATATATAAATTATAAAATAATATATTCATTCAATATTAAAATAAAAATTAAAAATTTATTATTCATTAAAATTATTTATTTTTTTAGTAATTTATTAATTAAAAATAATAATTAATTTTAATAATTTAGAATAAATAATTGTTAGATAATTAGTTTGATATTTAGAATATATATTATCAAATTAATTTCTAAATCTAATACTATTTAATCATATTTTAGTAATGTATCGGATTTAAACATTTTGAAAAAAAAAAAAAAAGGGGAGAGAAGATGATATTAAAGATGAATAACAAAAAAATTGACCATTTGTACCAATAACATGGTAAAACTAATAGTACTGCTACTATTTGACATTTAAATTTTATTAATTCACATTATGAGAAAATTAGACTTTAAAACAAATAATACTGTATCTACTCACTCCTTGACTTTGGATCTTGATAATAATAGAATTTACACACCTTTTAAATAGGATAATAAATTATTATTTATTCTAAATTATTAAAATTATAGGATAATAATAGAATTTACACACCTAATTTAATTTTGACCATAAATATTTTGATTTAACCTAAATTATTTATGAGATCTTTTATATTGATCATCGAACTAAATATATTTTCACATAACACATGATCAAGCATTATAAATTGTTTTATATTAAATTTGAAAATTTAAACATATCATTTAGATATTGATTAAGACCATAAATTAAACGGTGACAAGTGTTACATGTAATGTAACATTTTAACAATGTTGAATGAAATATTTTGAATCCTTCAATTTAAAAAAAAAAAATAAATTAACAGGACAAATATGAGAAATATAAAAAAGTCAAGCTAGCATTATGAATCATCTCTTACATGTGTTTTAATAACAAAAACTTATTCTCTACCAAAGGGAGATCAATTACAGCCTCTTTAATATGTGTTTTAATAACAAAAGCTCATTCTCTACTAAAGCCAAATAAATTAGAATCTTTAATGAAAGTTGTTTATTAAAATGCTTAAATAAAATATTAGTTGATTGAAGTAATTTTTCATTAAAGAAATTCTATGTGATATAATAAGTATTTTAAATTTTTTTATAAATATTTCATCAAGTAATTTATAAAAATAAACAAATAAAAGGAAATGAGGAGAAATAATAAGAGAGAATACATTTTTTAAAATTATTAAGAAAATTTCTCATAAAATAAAATAAACACTAGATTACTCATGTGACATTTATAAATTATTGTTTTATATTTTTTTAAAATAAAAAACAACTCATATAATGATTCTTGTCCGTAAAATTTAAAAGAAGGTTTTAAAATTATAAGTTGTATAATTATTTTCAAATCTTCATTATATCACATTTTTGTTTTTTATTTTTTATATAACTCTCTTTTATATTATTAAGTGTATTCAAGCGCATAAAAGTATATAATACAAAGGTTAATGTTATTAATTTTTTAAAATTAAATTCCTAGTACGGTAAGGGTAAGGAATAAAACTTTTAGTACAGTTCTAATTATACCCTTAATATTATAATATCTAAAAAAAAGGCAATATGATTTACAACTTTTAATATATCCAAAATTTAAAAAGAATTACTATTTTACTAATTTGTTTAACCACATAATATTATACTAAATTTAATAAATATAATATTTTAAAAACTTTAAATTTATTCAATTTTTTTAAATATTCTCTTTGTATAATATATGTATATTATACACTATGATATACTAATTATAATATTGTAATTATATACTATGTAGTAGCTTTTTTTAATCAACTCTTAATACAAAAATCTCTTAATTTTAAATGTAAAAATTTTAAGTATATAAACCGAACGATTTTACAAGAACAGAAAATCACATTTATTTGAAGTTACTTAATTGTAGATACAACAATAATTACTTTTCAAATATCTACATCTAATCTTATAGTAATATTATTTAATATTCAAGTATATGATATAAACCTTCTAATTTTCATGACTTTTTTCTTAACATTACTTACGCATTCGTTATTTAGAATCTAAAATAGGGATTTTATGAAATATAATTTCTTTTATTTATTCTCTCTCTATATAACCATATAAAATATTTTTTAGAGCATACTAATTATTTAGAGGTGATATAAATTTATTATTCTTTCATTTTTATTTAACATCTAAAGATTATTTTTCTTAAAATATTTTCTGGCAGTATATATATATATATATATATATATATATATATATATATATATATATATATATATAACTGCACTTGTAACTACAAAATATCATTTATCCTAACTTTTTTATATTATAAAACATGAATATCAATAATAAATTAATAAAAATATGCGTCTTTTCATTTTTTTTTGCCCTATCTTAAAAATGAAACTCTTGATTATATATTACATTAATCCAGCCAAATTCATAATATTAATACAAAACTTATTTTAGTTGTTATAGCACATAAATTACTTAATTCTACTCACATAATGATCAATTAAAATTTTATAATTATTAAATTTTATTTACTATCCAAAATTATTAGTTTACTTATATACAGTTATTTTTATTAGTTGGTTATAACAAATAAATTACAGTGATTCATATTTTTTTCTATTAGGAAATGCATAAGTTAACTATTTATAAAAAGTGTTGTTGTTATTGTTTAAATAGGGTAGCAAGTATTGAAAATTTATTAGGAATTAAATAAAAATAATTTTCATTTTTATTTTTAAATTAAAAAATTAATTTAATAATTATTTTATTAAAAAACGGTTTCAAAAATTAGTTTTTATTTTTTATTTTAAAATAATTAAAAATTAAAAAGCATGTTTTATTTTAATTTTTTTATTTTCATGTGTGTTTTTATTAATCGATATCATTAAAGAAAGATGATTTCTAAACCATATTTAAAAATTTAAAAATAAAATTAAATCAAATCTGTTCTTAATTATTTAAGTATAAGGAGCATTAAAGGTTTTGACACATGATTTGAATTATTGATGAACAATTTCGTCGACAGCTAAGGTAATTAAAATTTACGCAGTGAAATATTTTGATGGTCAAAGTATTGACTAAACTCAATTATTAGCGTGATGATTTCATGAACAATCCATTTGAAGTGAGTTTTGTGCATAAGTGATTGGTGAAAAGATCATTATTCCAGAAATAGAACTCTTAACTTTAAGCCATATCCCAAGTCTCAAAACATGCACCCCTACCCTGAACTTGGTTTGTTGCTATAGCCTAGTTAAGATTTCCAAATTTTATCAGAAAATAGACCCTGATGCATGTTCAAATATTAGATTAAACTTGTATTTTATTTAACACTATATGTTTATGAAGAAATGTATATGGTCATCATGTATATTAAATTTTGACATGAGATCATCCTTATTTAAGCTTGATTGACTGAGAAGTCCTGAAGCGTATTTATGACTCAAGGCTCATTAACTCCTCCCTCTTCTGTTGTTTTCTTGATACAAGTGTTATTTGTTTGGTACAAAACTCTTGACTCTACTGCTTCTTCGATCTGTGCAGAGAGAGGGAGAGAGAGAGAAATGTGAGAGTTAATAAGGTTGGATCTTTACCGAGAACAAAATATGAATATGTCATGTTAACTTGACCAGTGACAGAAATATGGCATAAAGGTGTGTAACCCTGGCAGGCCGAGGTTCCAAATTTAGCAAGTAGTGACCAAACACACAGGACTTTTCAGGGGTACCCTCCAATGGGATTCCCTCTCTTCGGTTTAGAAAATTGATGCTCTTTTTCTTTCTACCTATAACCTCCTTCTAATTTCTATCACTACTACACCACACTCTCTCATATACTCAAATATCCCCCTCACAACCCTCATCTTCATCATTATTCATCTACCATTCTCTATGCGGTTATTCACTCTCTAGTTCACACCACAACTTTTGAGAGACATATAAACACAACCCTTTTGAGCCTTTACATCTGTCTTTTTAAGATTTGTCTATATGATTTGAGTAGGACAGTTTAGTTTTTTTTGAGATATACAACATTGCAATCTGGCTGAGGAATCAAAAAAGGGAGGTAGCTATAGCTAGGCCAATGAAGAGGAACAGTTTGATGAAAGACTACACTCACAGTTGTGCTAACAAGAACCCAACAAAAGACTTCACCCATGTTGTCAACTGCTACAACAAGCAGAACCAAATGGCTAGAGAGTTTTGGGAGTGCAGCGGCAACTCTCACAGCAATCCAGATCAGGACTATGTGAATGGCTTCCCATGGCCTCCAAGATCATACACTTGTAGCTTCTGCAGAAAGGAGTTCAAGTCTGCTCAGGCACTTGGTGGACATATGAATGTTCATAGGAGGGATAGAGCAAGGTTGAGGCAGTCACCCCCGGCTGAAGGTCAAGGCCATATGTTCAACCTTAACCTCGACCCTACTACAACTAACCCTAACAACTCATGCTCACCTCTGTCCTTGTTACCATCATCTTCATCTTCAGCAACTCTCAAACCAGTCACTTGCACATTACCCTTGTTTGTTTCTCCCACTCCTCCTTCACCTTCTTCTGAGTTGAAGAGATGGGTAGTTATGGATGGCATTCTGTTGAACCCTTTGAGCACAAAGACCCCAGAGCACTCTAAGTCAAAGATTCCAGAATCTTTATCAGCTGGGGTTGGAGAATATGATCATGCTTTTGCAAGAGAAGATGGGTGCAAAGTGTTGAAGAAAGGAGAGATTCTGAGGATGGACTTGGAGATAGGTTTGCCTAGAGGTTATGATTTAGATCTGGAGCTTCGTTTGGGCACTACTTACTCTTAGGTCACACTCACACGGTTAGGTAACCAGCATATGTAGTATAGTAGCTAACTAGTTATCATATTTCTCTATGTTAATTTACTAGTTAAGGTTGGCATGCAGTGAGAAGATTGGATGATTATTAATCTGAAGTAGGGTCATATGAAATGGAAATGTGTCTATGCTCACCATCTTCAACATCATAGCTAGTTAGTCTATGAAGGCTTTCACTTCCATTACTTATCATTTACAGGTGGAAAGCTTAATCTTAATGCTATTGGTACCTCTTGTTTATGCTAGCTTGTGTCAATTGTCAAGCAGAAATGATGTTTTGGACGTGCATGAATTAATATCTCACATTTTAAGGATTGGATTTTTTATCCATAGTTGAATCAAGTCAGAAACTTATAGCATACCACGTGAACAAAATTTTTAGTCCAGATTTAGTTTTGAACATATAATCATATAATGTTAGTTTTGAGCAGTTCTTCAACGAAGATAACTGACATTAAACAGGAAATTGAAACTGAGCCTTACAATTAGGCATCATGAGGCACTTTGTAGTAAAGTATTTATGTAAAATATTTACTCTGACATAGGGGCATAACATTATTGATTCAATTTCCAACACAAGCCTCATTATGTGACTGTACAAACAATGTCCTATTTGGGGCCACTACATTTTAAAGTTAAGCAGTTCCAAATCGCATGGCAATGAATGAGTTTGCATAACATAGTTTTTTCATTTGTTTGACTAGCCTCTTCACCATATTGGGCACTTGGAAAACGATGTGAGAAATTTAGAACAATCACCAAACTTACCAATGATATATACCATATGTTTGTTCTTGCTGATTTAAGCCCCCAACGACACTTTGCACGGTGACACACACACATAATTACTGTTCAAAAGATAGTTGCTTTCTTTAATGTATCTGGTTTGTTTTTGTGATTGTAAGATAAATATGAAACCCGGAAGAGAGAAGAAACAACTTTTAGAAAGGGAAAAATAAAAGCAATATGCACAAGAAAGAAATGTTGTGTATTGAAAAGGCAGAAGGAAACAAAAAGCTGCAAGTTATGAGCAGTAATATCTACCTTCAGAACAATATCTCACAGAGAGCCAAACAGAGATGTCATTTCATTAAAAATGTTGCATGGTTTTGGTACCCCAATTTGATGGCATCCAGTACTCTTTCTATAGCAACACCAACGTGGCCATGTGAGCTTCCAATCTTCACTTCTCATTGGATATTCTCCCAATATTGGTGAGGACAATTCGTTTCACAACTTTGCTCTTACCTTTCATTATAGAAAATTATGTCACATGTATACTATAATGAAATCAAAATATGGAATATATGGATAAACTTTACCATCACTAAACATTCATAAGATAACAAAACAACAACTAACTTATAAATTAAAATTAACTTATTGAATACTACCAGTCTGTGTAATAACCTACTATCTTCAAACATCAAATACTCATTTTATACACAGTTTGTTTTGCAGCAATTTTATACAAGGTTATATGAATTAAATAAAAACCATTATTTCCTCCAACACAAGGTTTTTATCAGTAAAATTATAGTGCAATGATAGTAGAAAGAGGATGATGCTTAAGGGAAAATAAGGTATCCTTAACCTTTCACATAGATAGATGTGAAACTGACAAATCATCAACTGGATTACTTATGTAATGACAGAATGTCATTGAAAATATGTGAGAAAAATTTTGATTCAATTTGAATAGCTGGTGACAACAAAAGGGGTTGTGGGAGTGGACTAATCAGGTGATAGTTTGAACCTGATCAATCTGGAAAATGGTGTGGGGGTCTCATGATACTTTGAACTGATGAAGACACAACATTCCATTTAAGGAAAGACCATCATACCCATTTGACACCCAGACATTGTCGGGAACATATAAGCCTCAAGATTTGGAAAAAAACACCCCTCTCAAGAACCCACCAGGACACTTATTTATGGAAAACAAAATTGAAATGGTAAACCATGTTAATTCACGCATGAATTGATTGCTTACGTTCTATCATCCCCATGACTCCATCCCATGTCACTTTTTTTATTTTTCTTTTTTGTCCTTTTCCTTTCACTGCATATTTAAGTCATGTGTTCTTGTTTGATATAGAAATATAGGGTCATTGTGATCAAGTTAAAATATATTTTGGAAGTTTACATCGTTGAATTTCTATGATCAGTTGATTACACCAAAGTGTTAATTTTATAGGCCGATATAACAACTGTTAAATACTGTCACCTTTCTTATAATTTGTGATGTACGTGTTATCAAGTTAAAAGATATATGTTCTAAAAATCAACATAAAAGTTTTTAAAAGTGAATAATGGTGGAGGTGGGAGGGTCAATCTTGTGTCATATTCGATATTATCCTTGGGTTGGGGGGTAAGACAAAACTTGAAAAATGTGCTAAATTAACAAAACATAGTAACCATTATGATGAAAAGCTGAAAGAATCAATTCTCTGTGAAGAAGGTTGATGACAGCAAAAATATAGGCCGATGCAGATGCATCAATCAAGACCCTAATATATCTGCATGATGCCTCTTACATGAAGGGCCCATCTTCTTTTTAACAACAGTCCACTAAGTTGTAGGTAAAGTACTATCAGTATAGGGCTTATGTTTCTGCTAGGATTTGTTTGAAAATTTTCTGAATGTTAATTATAAGATAAAAGTAAGAAAAAAAATTTATAAGTTAATTTATAGATGCTATATTAGTTTCTTGAAAATCTGATTTTTAATATATGAATAAGTTAATTTTGAATTATAAAAATGTTATTTTATTTTATTTTTATTTTTATTTTCTAAAATTGTTTATACATTGATTAAAAGTAAAATGTGTAGCTTTGAATTTTAGTAACTTAAGTTTGAAAAGTGGATCCTAGAACCCTTTTTTTTTTTTTTCTTTTTACACGTAAACAAATAGAGCTTACATTTGATAATTTAATTTTGATATATTTATTGTTGTAAATAATTTTGTGTATGAATATATTATGATGTTTCGTTGCATTATTTAATTAATGAATCCATCAAACTTATGCATTAATATGACAAAGAATTATTATTTAACTATAAAAGTTTTTAAATTTAAATTACAATACTATACTCGATAAATTATATTATATATACATAATATTGTACGAATTGTAATATCATATTTTTGTAAAGGTGCACATAAGCAGTTTTATTTTTAATATTTTAAGAATGTAATGATTTTTTAGTTGAATTTTAAAGGATTTAAATAATATGAAATTATATTGTTTAAACGGATTTAATGGATTTTTATGAAAGATAGGTACTTTATATTTTTACTTTTTTTTAACTGTGAAACGTAATTTTACGTATTATCTTATTTCATAAACTTACCTATATTAAAATGCATCTTAATAACAGTATTGGACATAAATAATATTTGATATTACGTTTCTATTTTTTATTTATTTCTAGTTTTCGTAAGCAACTAATTACTGTAAAAATAATAATAATAATAATAATAATAGTAATATTAATATTAAACTAGTATATAAAAAAGAAAATAACAAAATGAATAAAAAGTTGAAAAAAATGATAAAAATAAATGTGAAAAACATAAATTCAAAAAAAGAAAAAAAATGTTTAAAGAATATTCTTTACTTAAAATGATATCTTATATGTAAATAAGAATTCTATTAAGTCACAATTTTCTTATTTTATTTCTTATTTTTTTACAAGAAAAACATAAGAAATCAAAGTTATATTAAATAAAATGAAGATCTTGTTTACGATAATATTAAAAAGCATAGATCTTATTATTTGTTCTTTGAAAAATTTAATTTAATATATTATATTTTTTATGATTTCCACGTAGTATCTAATAAAAAATTAATAGCACTCTAACATGTATCAATCATCCATTTTTTTTAAAAAATTCCTTATTAATTTTTTTCCTTCATAATTGTTATTGTCCATAAAATTCCTTAGAATTAAACTTTCAAAGAATCAAGCATAAATGAATTGCTGAAATTTAAACAATGTAGTTAAAAGAAGATGTTTAAAAACTCAACAAGTGAAAAAAAAACATTATTATAAAAGTCAAATTAGAAAAGAAGAATCTCATTAATTGAATATCATATGTGATAATAATATATAGAAAACAATATAGCTAAAATAAATAAATAAAAAAACAACAGTTACTTGAATGTACAAAAAAAATGGTTGAATTTTGAAAAAATCCTGAATAAGAATAAAAGAAAGAATACGACGTGTTTATATATATACACATAACAAAGCCACATAAAATCTTGACAATCTAATTGAATAGCACAATATTTTATTTAAATACTTTTATTTTCCTTTCAAATATTTGATTGAATAACTCCTATTTTTTTGGATAAAATATTTAAAATAACTATCCATATTTTTTTATAATTTCAAATTTAGAATTAATATATTATTAAAATTTATATACATTATCTACATGTATGTTTGTATCCTCTGTGTATATTTTAATTAGCAACTCATTGGCACAAATTTGAAGAATAATTATAAAATTTAGAATGGTTACATGTGAAACTAAAATCATATAATAATTTGAAAATAAAAATGTAATTAAGTCTATGTATTCATATCTAGTCTTGTTACTTTTTTTTTTTTTTTTTCAATTATGAGAGTATGAGATTAATAAAAGAAAAGAACAAGGTTCTTGATCCCATGTCATGAGTAATTAGATGTGATCTTCCAATATGAATGGTAATAAATATAGGTATAATGAAAAACTAACTTGTATTTATTTGATATTCCACTTATAAAAAGAAAGAAGGTATTAAGTGTAATTTTGAATTGAAGGTTTTATAGGATTTTGCTTTATATATATAGACTGAAGATATGGTGCACCGTTCACAGACTGTTTTGATGGGAACATTTTTTTTTTTTTAATAAACCAAACAGGTATCATATAAATAGGTTAAATGGGTACACACCTAAATCTACAAGAAAGAAAATTA